TACTGTAGCCCACCAGGCTTTTCCATTCATGGGATTCTCCAGGCAAGAATACTGGGGTGGGTTTCCTTCTCCAGAGATCATCCCAACCTAGGGATCGAACCCAGGTCTGCCGCATTGCAGGCAGACGCTTTAACCCTCTGAGCCACCAAGGAAGCTCTTGAGGGGCTAGAGATGAGGTGGATCCCAAAACAAAAATGCTAAAAAATGCTTGACTGAACAAATGGTTCTGGCTTCAGGGGTTTACCACCTTTGCAAGCTGACTAAGAACTCATCCTGTAAAGTACATCCTTGGACTGATCTCTTCCCAGAGCCGTGGGTCTTTGGGATGGTCCAGTATAGTCTGTCACACATCCATTCATTCCTTCACTCATTCATGAATGAGAAGCACCATGGTACAGCAGAAAGAGTCTAGAAATCCAGTTTTAAATTTCAATCCTGAGCCTTATTGGATGTATTGTCTTAACTAAGTTATTTTTTTAAATCTTTGTAAATCAATTATACTTCAATAAAAAATTTAAAAATTAAAATAATAAAAAGTAAAAAATTGTGTGCTGTGCCCTGGTTTTCTTATCTGTAGCATTAGGGTGAGAACAGAATACTATTTGTCACTATATGTCATCCATATAGTCATAGTCAACATCCTTAGATATTGACTTAAAGTTACATCTTTTCCCCTAGACTGTGAGCTTCTTGAATATTGAAACCATATCTCATTCCATGTTGATCATGAACAAACTACCTAGCAGACAGCCTGGTACTTCCAGATACTCAATATCAGTTGGATGAAGAAATGACAAAGTGCTTTCCCTCTCTTTTAATTTCATTCTCACAGCAATCTGGTTCAGGATTATTTTAGCCCCGTGCAAGACAAAGGAGATTATAATATTAAAATACATGCTTCCTCTTCTCAAGGTATTTACCATTTACTGTATTTAACAAACAGCTTATATAATATTTGGTCTCTGCCAGCTACTGTTCTAAACTCTATAAATCTTAGCTCACTGAATCCTCATAACACTTCAATACAAGGTTAGGTGCTGCCTGTAGGACTATCCCTGGCCCAAGGTCACATGGGTACATGGCAGAGCAAAAGTCAAATTCAGCCGGTCTGGCTCTATAGTCAGTTGCTCTTAACCACTTGGGTAATCAATGCCTTAAATAAGGGACATAGGTCACCTGCATAAATGTGTATAAAGAATATACAAGAGTGATGGGTTACAGAGGAGGAGAAGACCCCACATTGCATCTTTAAGAGAAGAGCAATCTGAACATGCAAGAACATTGGAGAAAAGAAGAAAGTCTGGCTGGAAAGTGAGTAGGGGCCAGATGATGGTCCGCACTGACTGTCTGCATAAGCAGTTTGGGCTTCAGGCCATGGGACGCCACTGAAAGTCTCTGAGCCATAGGGGAAGCTAAGCAAAGCTGGCTTTAGGGAAAATTCATCTGCCAATGGCATGCAAGGCAGACTAAAGGGAGGAGATGGGGCAAATGGGGAGAGTGACACAGTGACTGATGTCAGGGGTCAAGGAAGAGGTCTCAGAGTCTAAACCAGGATGATGGAAGCAGAAGCACAGAGGGCAAGTCCATAGGACATGGTTTCTGCCATGATGTAAGATGTCTGCATCAGCTTCCCACCAAATCACTCAAATTAGTAACAAGTTCCAGGAAGCTCTTACTGGGTACCTTCCCAGCCATCCAGAGTGGCACAGGGGCAACTTGTAGCACCAGTTTCCAGAGAAGGTAAAACTCGGAGCTCTCCTGAGGAGTGTCTGGAAATGGAGGCTGAGCTCTCTCCATGAATATGCAGCTGGCTACTGAAGCTAAGATGGCAAATTCAATCATGACAAAGAATCCCAGCCATTTCAGAGGTGAAAGGCAGCCTGGGACATCAAACTGCAGTCCTGTTATATCACCCTATCCATCACCACTCAGCATCTAAACCCAGTCTGGGTGTTACAGTTAGTGGAACTTTCTATTCCAATTCCCATCACAGCAGAAGTGAGGAGCAAAATGAGGAATGGGTGAGGAGAATGGGGGTGAGTTATGGCTCAAGGACATGATTTGTGAGTTTTCTTCCAAGATCTCCCAATTGTCTGAAATCCTCTATCTATCCCAGGTGCTGCATGAATTCCTGGGGAAGGTTTTCTCTGACTTCAGAATGAAATAGATGCCAGAGAATGCATATAATAGGTTGACTCATAAAACTAGTACAGAGAGCTTTGCTCTGACAAAAGCTGGAGTCTTCCTGATTATTTATCTATCACATTTGAAGCCTTGTAATCCCATTTTCATCTTGATGGAAGCGATAAAAGCTTAGCAAACTTTTATGGCTCCCAGGTCGAAGCTGAGGACCCTACCCCCTGTTCCCACCTAGCAATGCTTACAGACTTTTCAATTCAAAGTCAGGGCAGAAATTGCTTTTGGTCAAAAGCAAAATGTATTTATCTTTGTAAGCATAGTCATTAAGATGTGAGCATGAATACCTGAAGAGATAAAACACAAAGGGAGAAAACAGACAGAAAAAGAAAGTGAGGCTTCTGAAGCTAGAGAGAAAATGATGACACATCAACCCCCACTGAAAACTTTTTATGGTGCAAGGAGAGTGGGGTGTGGAAAAAGGCATCTTCAGAGATTGGGAGAATGGAACCCTGAGAGTGGGCCAAGGGGACAGCCTTTCAGTAGGAGGGCTGTGATCAACCTGTGCTCAGTGCTAAAAGAGCTTTGAGAGTAGATCTAATAAATGGGAAAATTTTGCTTCCATTTCTGTTTGTCTGTAGAATCACTGTGGATCTGAAATCCACCCCCTCCACTTCTCCACACACTGAAGAAAGTCTCCAGATGGAAAAATCTGAAACTAGGCTTCAATATGAAAAAGAAAGAAAAGAAAAAGAAGGCTCATCCAGGAAGCTGACAGCTTTCTCATCCTCTAAGATCTAACCTATGGAGCTCCAGTATCAAATACTAGGAAGAGTCAGGAAACATGGGTTCTTGTCTATTTGTTGCTTTGGACTGACTGCATGACCTTGGACAAACCTCATTTAAATCACTCACAGACTTTTTGGAAAATGATCTAGAACAGAAGTAGCAAAGGCATAACAAGGCATAAAAAACCCTGGTACTGCCACCTGCCAAGACATTGCTCATGGCAGACATCACTAATCAATCACAGCATTCTGTAGAGTAGTAGTCCCAATTGCTCTGCCGCACAGCCTTGAATCTTCAGCAAACCCAACCAATCTGGCCAGCCAATTAATCAGAATGGGCCCTGGAGATGAAACCTGTTCACCATCCCTGGACTAAATCTCTTCTAATCCTTGAACTCCAGAGCTATAAAATGCTACATGTCACATATATTCTCATTACAGATACCCTTGAAAGCCAAAGTCATTCAGTCGTGTATGACTCTTTGTGACCCCACAGACTATACAGTCCATGGAATTCTCCAGGCTAGAATACTGGAGTGAGTAGCCATTCCCTTCTCCAGGGGATCTTCCCAACCCAGGGATTGAACCCAAGTCTCCCACTTGCAGGTGGATTTTTTACCAGCTGAGCCTTCAGGGAAGCCCAAGAATACTGGAGTGGGTAGTCTATCTCTTCTCCAGTGGATCTTCCTGATCCAGGAATTGAACCGGGGTCTCCTGCATTGAAGGTGGATTCTTTACCAACTGAGCTACCAGGGAAGCCCTCAACTAAGATTGATCTTTCTTCTTTTCCTTGGCCTTTTTCCCAAGCCCTAGCAGCCAAGGCTGTAAAGAAAAAGACTGACTGGAAGGCTCTCCCATTACACCCATGTCTAAAGCTCCGAAAGTGACCCAGTGTATTTTTCTTGGGCCTCTTTACCTTAGATTCCCTCATTCTGCTAAAAAGCTCCTCCTAAAAAGCTCCCCTCTAGCCTCTTAAGGATTTCATCAAGGTAGAGAATTCTGTTCCTTTTCAAATGCTATGAGATCATGGAAGAAAAGACAGCCTGGGGAAGTTCAAAGACATTTAATTATTATCCTCAGTTCTTTTGAAAATTATTAAAGAGCCCAGAATTAGAAATTCAGATTTCCTCCAGATCCCTGAGAACAAACATCTCACTTGTAAATGGCTTAATGTGTCTGTTTAATGTACACAAAATTGTCTTTCAGGAAAGCGGATTGTTTTTCATGTCATTTTGCATCTCTAAAATATACCACCTATGGCAAAAGGATTGAGATTCAAGGTCTGACAAAATCCACAGCAGAAATAATTAGCCCCAGAGGCTGTGTCTGAGAGTTAAATGAAAGAGAATCAAGTTACTTATTTATTTCTGTTCTATCTGGATCTCTCCATCACAACCTGGGGAAGAGGAACTTTATCTTTGGAGGTTGGATTTTGCTGCATCGTCTCTATGAGGTTGATTTGTTGGAGAGAGCCCTCAGTCCCCAACACAGCAACTCCTTCTGGTCCAGGAAGCTATGAAAATCTGCTTCAGTGATGTAACTTTCTAGGAAAAGCTACCAGAAAATCCTACTTGTTTGCAAAGTTTGCACAAATCAGAGGAACAATGATGTTTCATCATTTAGCATCCAAGGAAGGGCTCAGCCGTTACTCCCAAGGACATGGACAGTCTTTCCTTAAATAACATGAACTAAACTGCAAACACCGAAATAGGCGGCCAATTGAGGATCTGTTGTGGTTATTTTTTCAAGTTCATCAAAGAAGTTTACTGGAAATAAAGCTTCATTTAGGGGAAACTCTGCAACATCAAACCCACTAAGAATCTCAGTATTCACACGTTTGCTGTAATTTGGAGGCTAAACGCCTGGCAGCTCCTGTCAACCCCCTAGGTATATCAGGTATATAGGTATATTAGGTATATAGGTATATTAGCTACCTTGCTCCCCAAATAAAAATGAATCTTGCCATGGTAATGTCTCCTCGCTCCTCAGCACCTCTTGGGTGTCTCTGTTAGTCATGGCTTTAAATAAATGTGCCTCTTGTGAAATGTTTACAGATATCAAGAGACGGACCTGCCTCTGCCCTCTGCCCAGAAGAGGAACAGACTTCCAGGAACTCTGTGACTTGCATTGGCAGCAGTTCTGCCACAGCGATGCAAACAGCAAAGGACAGAACCCACACCTCCCCGACGGTCTCCTCAAGAAGGCTGCTCCACGGGACAGAAGGCTCTTCTGTTCAACTCTGGTGCCAGTGGGGTTACCAAATCAGAACGTGATCCCCTCAGGGGTTTCCAACTCTTGGGAGATGGCCAGAGGAGGGACATCCAAGACTGAAGTGGTTTACAGGAAGACACTTCTTCGGTGAGCAACTGGTCCCTTGGGATGTGACCCCCCCTCCCACAGCATCCTTCTTCCTACCCAACTCCATGGTCACAGGCCCTGCTCCTCCTGCCGCCTGCTTCTCTCTCTGCCTACAGTGATGCACCTGGAAAGGAGTCCAGGAGGAAAAGAATCGTAAGAGATGAGAGGGGGGCAGAAGCCTGATGACACAGGGAGAGTTTTTGTTTTTGTCTTAAATGAAGTGCCAAGCCAGGGCAGGGCCAGGAGAATGGGTCCTTGACGATTTTCTGCATCCCTCCAGTTTCTCTGGAAGCTGAGAAAGGATTATTCTTTCTCCTTCTCCAGTTCCCCAAGTGCCGAGCTCATTGCCAAGTGCACCACAGCTCTGAGGTAGACCCTTGCTGCCTTTGCGAATAAAGGACAGTAAAGTAAGTAAGAAAATGTAGCAACATTCTGGACTTCAAGGGAACAGACTATTACTACCCCCTTATTTTATCCACAGACACACCAAGACCTCGAAAAGGAATGGACTTATCCAAGGTCACCAGAGAGATTATGGCAGAGCCCGGGTTAAGAACCCAGTGTCCCGCTGTCCACCGTTCTTCAGATGAAAGGAAGTGATGGTCATCTCTGCTCTCATATCCCAAATTGATCTTAAAACACCATCATCAATCCCCAAGGCCCAGACGGATACACTGCATGAAGCCAGGTCAGTAAACTCATTTCCTCCTTCCTGAGGATGTAAGCTTTCTTCCTGGAGAGGTTGAAGGTGGTTGAGAAGCCAAACTGCCCACCTCATGGCTTGCGGGAGTCAGTAACCTCATGGCAGCTTCCCCCTGGAGCCCACACACAGGGGTCTGTGGGAACAAGCAGCCCCTGAAACCAGCCGCTCTCCACTGCAGGAAGTTATCTGTCACTCTGGCACAAGGCCTGGCAGAAGGCTCTGTGAGTGCCTGACTGACAGAATCAACTCCAGAGAGATCCAGCATGACACAGAAGGAAACAGGTTGTCCCCTCCCCAAGGGATTCTACACCCCACCCCTTCCTGGGCAAGTTGAAACCCACAGGCTAACAGAACCAGCAGGTCCATGCGGAGGCCAGGGAGCCGGGGGCTACTGCCCTGTGAAATGCTACCTTCCTGTCATTCGGCTCTCATTGCAAGCTATTGTTAGTATAAGCAAAGCCAAAATTTGAGGAGAGTGATGTGGGAGGGGGCCCTTGTCCTCCCCTCTCCTTTTCAATGAGTTGCTTGCTCCTTGTTTCCCTGGGGACAGCTGCTTCCTCAACAGCCACCATGAAATGAAGAGAAAAAAAATTGCTGAAAAGAGAAAAATGGGAAAATGGGGAAAAGATAAAAATTCAGCCTCTTCACTAAAAGCAGCCTGGAAAGGTGAAGGTTTTTCAACCTTTCAGCTTAATGTGCTGGATCCTGGCTTTTCCATAGGTACAAGAAACCAGAATGCCCAGTCCATTTACTTTCTGGATTAACTCACCTCGAGTAAACAAGGAAGGCCCAGAGGTCTGCTTGCCCAGGGAGGAGGCAAGTTCACAAGTAACCTGGATGTCCTCAGGTAAGATCTGTGTCCCCAGACGCTTGTGAACCAGGAAGCGAGCTTCCACTCAAACAGGCCCCTGGCTCCTCAGTTTCGTAGAGTCTTCCATGTCAGCACGGGGCCAATTTTGTGAACTACAATTAATTAGATGAGCAAAAAAGACAGCCCCAGTGCTTAAGAGGCCTGGGTACATTTAATTGAGTTTTCAAGTGCCCTCATTTCCTTAAGAAAGACAGAGAAGTAAATGTCCTGTCCTAGTTCCCTCCACTACTCAAACACCTGAGAACATTTTCTGCAATTAAATTTTTAGGGCAAATTTGCTGTTGTTGTCATTCTTCTGAAGTAGTCGTTTTTCTGGGAAAAGCCTCATTCTGAACCCAGACCCTAAAAACAGGGCTTTGAGTGCACCGATTTGGGATGTTTGGGGCCCAGAGACACGAGTCAGTCTGCCTCCTCCTAAACATAGCCTAGTAAACTAAACCTGGAAGCATCAGCTCGTGTGTGGTCCTGAGTGTGATTTTCCAAACACGTGTTTCCTGGCAATGACAATGGCTGGCAACTTTGTCATCATCATCTCTATTTTTGAGTCTTCCTGTTCAACAAACTTCTTCACAGCTGAAATGGAGGCTCCAAGGAGAATCTCAGTCCACCAGGTATTTTTTCTGACAAATAGGGAGTGCTAAACTGTGAGCATTTCCCGAAGGCCCTGGGGGAAAAGGTGAATGAAGAAGTGTCCCAGTATGAGATGCATCTGGTGTGTGTGTGCTCAGTCATGTCCGACTCTCTGAGACCCCACGGACTGGAGTCCACCAGGCTCTTCTGTCCATGGAATTTTCTAGGCAAGAAATACTAGAGTGGGTTGCCATTTCCTATTTCAGGGAATCTGCCCGACCCAGGGGTTGAACCCATATCTCTTGCATTAGCAAGCAGAGTCTTTATCACTGGGCCACCTGGGAAGCCCTGGATGGTGGGCTCCAAATACAGATGTTCTGTTCCCTACAGAGCCTCAAGGGGGCGCCAGCTTTTACTAACTGGGAGGGAGGAGAGGGAGGGAGAAAGAGTGGGAAGGAGGGACAGAGAGAGTGTCAGCTTAACATGAATCATATATTGTTAAACTCAGGCCCCTTGCATCCAGCCACAGAAAGACACAGGACATGTGATCAGGATTAGAAGAGGTGGGTCTCCAGGCCTGTCCGAGGATGGATGGAAAGGTCACAGGCCCTGATTTATCACCAAACTACTTCAAACACCTTGCCACCCAAAAGCACTGCAGGAAAATGCAACAAAACATTTTCACTTTCAACACCTGGGATGATTTCACTTTGCAGACTTTGCTAGAGGAACCCCTATGTGTCCAGTGCCTTGAATAGCGTCTGACACCTCTCAGGTGCTGCAGGAATGCTTGAAGGAAGGGGTGAATGACTCGGAGGAGAGTCTGGGCATACACAGTAGAAACTGTGTCCTTCTCTTCTGGTGACTTAACACACCTTCCTGCATCTTTCCAATGGATTTGGGGTTGCTGCCTGCCACTGGATGTTAAAGACACCTCCCTATGTCAGAAGGTACTGACATGCCTTCTGAAACCAGCCCTGTGTTCATCAGCCTCACCTCACATCCAGGGAGGACTGGATACGGGGACCACAGTGAGTACACTTGTCCCTCTTTCCTCAAGATTCATCTGTCAGCCTGCCAGGGTGGTTCCTGTGAGACACGTGCCTACGATGTACAGTTCCCAGGGAGAGCCCAGCCAGCCCTCCGGCCCCCAGCCAGCTCAGGACGGCTGTATGAAGTGAGAATTTCCTGGCTGACTTGACAGTGATGAGTCAGGCTGGCATGAGCCAGCTTCAGAAATGACAGGGCCTGAATTGTGTGCATGGACCGAACATCATCAGCTGGCTGGACCCAGACCTGGGACCTGGAATCCTCAGACCCCGTTTAGATGGCCATGACCAGAGGTGGCTCAGCCCTCTTAAACGATGTCTCAGTTTGGCGATGTCTGAGGGCTCCTCCATTCCTGTCACAGGAGAGGATTTATCCTCCACTCCCTGCCCCCGTGCGTCTCCACACCATCATGCTTCCTCCATGACATGGTGACCAGGCTCCCTTAATACTAACAAAAATAATAATACCAAATTCTTATTAAGCACTAACCACATAACAGGCACTATTCTAAACATTTTACATATGTTGATGCATCAAATCCTCCTAACAACATGAAAAGGCAGATGTACACTGCTATATTTAAATGAATAACCAATAAGGACCTACCGTACAGCACATGGAATTCTGCTCAATGTTATGTGGCAGCCTGTTTGGGAGTGGGGTTCAGGGGAGAACAGATATGTGTATATGTATGGCTGAGTCCCTTGGCTGTTCACCTGAAACTATTACAACACTGTTAGTTGGCTATGCCCCAATACAAAATAAAAAGTTAAAATAAACATTAAAAGGCACAGACTAGTAGTATGTTCATTGAACGGATGAAGAAACGGAGGCACTAGAAGATGAAGCAACTGGCCCAGGTGGAAAGCCCTAGAGCTGAGATTCGAAAGAATGACCATAGAGGCTGTGTTCCTAACCGCCCTGCCATACCACACATCGCAGCCCTCCACGCGCCAAGCACCATAGCATCCCTCCCCAAGGAGGCAGGTCCAAGGGAGAGAGGAAAATCAGGACCTGGCAATCTGAGGATGCTAAGTGCTCCACCTATCCTTCTTGCTGGTTCCAAATGAATGAGACACCAGGCCAGATGGGGCGCAAAAGAAAGTAGAAGCCCCAATTCAGATGATGCTGGATCAGCCACAGGGCAGGCTCCTGTCTCCCGGTCCAGACAGAGAAGCTGAACCGGAGCCAACAGAGATAAGGGAAAGCGCTGAGTGCCTTACTCAGTAGGCATCCACTGCCTGGGTGCTATATTCGCTTCTGTGTGCTGGGGAACACCAGTGAAGGTATGTGGATTGGACGGATGGATGAGTGGCTAGAGATGGATAAACAAACAGATGGATGAGACAGAAGAACAAAACAGGCACCCACTCCTGGCAAACACCCCAGTGGAAAGAGGTAGCAGCATAAGTACTGGCCACCAGATCCCAGGGGCTGTGGAAGCTGGGGATGAACAGCCGGGATGAACTGGACTATTCCTGGGTCAGAAGGCTCTTCCTGCCCCCAGAACTCTCTGGGGGTTAATTTCTGAAAGTCTCCTTTATTTTCACAGGGGAGGGTAGAGGAGCCAACACACCAGCTAGTAAAATTAATAACTGCCCTTCGCAGAATGTGGTGGAGAGGCGGGCACACACAGCATATGCCCCGCAGACTGGCAGCACGGTCCAGTGGCTGGTATGGCTGAGGCACTTGGCCTGCAGGCCTGGACCAGAGGTGTCTTCCATGGTAGGGACCAGACACTGGGCTGCCGGGCCAGGCCTGGGGCGCGCCAGCTGCAGGGGGATGCAGGCAGGTGAAGGTCAGGTGACAGAAAGTGACCCCGTTGCACAATTCTCAGACATATTCCACTGACCACAGGAAGCGGAAATTCCTATGCTGAGCCAACTGTGGGATCTGGGGGGCCTGCCTAGCTCTGACCTCTGTATCCCTCTCTCCACTGCATCATTTAGTTGAGCTTGTGGAAGTAAATGTAGAGGGTCTCTACAAGAAGGGACTGGATGGTACATCTTATCCATTGCCTTGAACCGCGGGAACAAGTCCTGGTGGCCACTCAACAGAAGGGGAACTTGATGGTCTGGTTTGGGAGTCACCAAATGCATTCAGTCCAGGACCCAACAGTAACTCCTCCAGGGTGGTGTATCTTGGACTCTGCGGATACTATTCAATTCTGCTGCGGTAGTGCATTGCAAAAACAGCCACAAACAACATGTAAATGAGAACATGGTTGCTTGCATCCCAATAAAACTTTGTTTATGAATACTGAAATATGATTTCACATCATTTTCACATGTCACAGAATAATCTTCTTTTGATTTTTTTTAAAAAGCCATGTAAAAATATAAAAACCATCTTGAGCTTGTGAGCTGTACCAAACAGGCAGTGAGCCAGATTTGGCCCATAAGTGATAGCTGGGCTAACTAAATGTTTTCCAAAGCGTGTTCTCTGTGATGCCCACAGATACTTCATGGGGTAAGGGTTCCATGGTAAAACAGGAGTGGGAAATGCTGGGCCAAAGTCTTCCTTACTGCAGGACTTACACAGTGATACCCATTGGACAATCTTGAAAATAGGACAAGAAATCTGTTCAACTTCGAGGGAAGTATTTTTATTCTGGAGCATCTCCTACATCTAATTTTCTATGGACCCTAATTAAAGTAATGAGGATGAAATCTGGCCAACCATCAGCAGCAGTGCCACCAAATGAGATCCTACCTTTCTTTGAACATCTCCAGTGACAGGCAACTCACTACTACCCATGGATTCCTACTGAATTCAGTGACTTCTCTGACTTCTTTTCCCATCCAATGACACTGGGTCCCAAGTAACAAATATAGTGCAGTCTAGTGCACCCTTCATCACAGATAAACCTTTATGTTTATTAATATAAATAAAGCTTTCCTTGTTTGATTTACTGATTCAAACACCAAATATAAATTCTATTTATCCACAGGATAAAATAAAGAGTCATTATTAAGTCATGGGTTATGGAAGTGTGGATTACCACTCAGTTCCTTTAAAAAGAAGCCTCACTTAGGGGAGTTAAACTCAAATTAAATCTCAGTTTAATTGAGATTTAAACTCCCAACTGCATGAAAAGCAGAATATACCATTTCACTATGGGGGCATTCTTACTTAAAAAAAAAAAAAAAAAAAGCCTATGCAACCCAAGATCTGTCTGCTACCTAGGGGGTCAACTGTAAGGGATATAGAAATTTTATGCACATTGTCTAAAATGTAAAAAAGGGGGATAGGGAAGGAGGTGAGAAGAGGGTGAGATGGAAATGTGAGGTATGTGAATTTGCTACCAGAACCACTGAAAATACACAGTAGAAGATGCTGAGAGAAGTGTCACCAGCACCATGAGGCACTTACAGGGAGAAATTAAGTCAACGAGGTCACCTGTGTGATTAAGCTCTGCCCATGTGCTCTCCACTTTGCTCAGCTGCTCTGATTCCAGGTACAGACAGCGCAGCAGTGAATGCACCTATTTAACTCTATTAAACCAATAGGATTATTTCTCTTTGAAAGGCTTGTTACATATTTTCTATGGGGCCCTAGGAGATAAGGATAGAATGGTCTAGGCTATGTATACTATGTTAATGTAAAATGCCACACATGCATATATTTAGGAAGATAAAAGGAAAGACTGGCATTTTTCTTTCTCCTTATTTCAACAAATCATTCCCCAGACAGTAAAGCAAGTAGAATATATTTTCAATTCATGGATTAGATGTGTCTGTTTCCTGGAGCAATATTTAAATATAGCAGCATGGGAATATGAGGACAATAAGCCAAAAAAAAAAAAAAAAGAGTAATTCTAAAGGCTCTATCTTTGTTCAAGGAGCTGATAGATACATTGGCAAGACTGGGCTTTGAAGTGAGCACAAAACACTAAATCTATAAAGGGGCTGAGCAGCTTTATACACAACCCAGCCAGGGTAGACTGTGCTTACACCTTGAGGTGAGGCCATGCTTGGCCACAATACATAGTTTTTCTAGGGAAATAGTCACTCTGAGATTGCTGTGGAAATTAATATGAATATTCACGAACAAGGTGCTAATGGAGATGGTGTTAGTGTGTGTGTGCCTATATCTATAACTCTGTATGTCTATAATTTTTCCCATTATAAATGCACTCACTGGTATTGTCACTCTTGTATTACATTATCTTAGGGAATTCCTACCTAAAGCTGCTCTGATTCCAGGTACAGACAGCGCAGCAGTGAATGCACCTATTTAACTCTATTAAACCAATAGGATTATTTCTCTTTGAAAGGCTTGTTACATATTTTCTATGGGGCCCTAGGAGATAAGGATAGAATGGTCTAGGCTATGTATACTATGTTAATGTAAAATGCCACACATGCATATATTTAGGAAGATAAAAGGAAAGACTGGCATTTTTCTTTCTCCTTATTTCAACAAATCATTCCCCAGACAGTAAAGCAAGTAGAATATATTTTCAATTCATGGATTAGATGTGTCTGTTTCCTGGAGCAATATTTAAATATAGCAGCATGGGAATATGAGGACAATAAGCCAAAAAAAAAAAAAGAGTAATTCTAAAGGCTCTATCTTTGTTCAAGGAGCTGATAGATACATTGGCAAGACTGGGCTTTGAAGTGAGCACAAAACACTGAATCTATAAAGGGGCTGAGCAGCTTTATACACAACCCACCCAGGGTAGACTGTGTTTACACCTTGAGGTGAGGCCATGCTTGACCACAATACATAGTTTTTCTAGGGAAATAGTCGCTCTGAGATTGCTGTGGAAATTAATATGAATATTCACGAACAAGGTGCTAATGGAGATGGTGTTAGTGTGTGTGTGCCTATATCTATCTCTATAACTCTGTATGTCTATAATTTTTCCCATTATAAATGCACTCACTGGTATTGTCACTCTTGTATTACATTATCTTAGGGAATTCCTACCTAAAATTTTTCTTTCAATTTCTGCCTCTCAATTTCTTAGTTTATGAAATAAGAAGTTGAACTAGACCAAAAATCAGTAAACTATGGCCCCTGAAACAAATCTGGTCCCCCACCTGTTTTTATAAATAAAGTTTTATTGGAACAGAGTCACACCCATGTAACTGTCTGTGCTGATTTCAAACTACAGCGGCAGAGTGGAGTTGTGACAAAGTCTCTCTATAGCTCGCAAAGCCTAAAATATTTATTAGCTGGCCTGTTACAGAAAAACTTAACCCTGACCTAGACTACTTCTAATACTAATTTTGGCTTATGATTCTATAAAGTACAACCAACCAATACAAACAAAAGCCTACTCTGTGTGCTTCTGACCCTTTTTATTTATATTACAGGCATACCTCACTTTATTGCACTTTACTGATACTGCACTTTTTACAAATTCAAGATTTGTAGCAACCCTGCCTTGAGCAAGTCTATAGGTGCCATTTTTCTAACATCATTTGCTTGCTTCATATCTTTGTGTCACATTTTGGTAACTCTCGCAATATGTCAAATTTTTCATCATTTGTTAGGGTGATCTGTGATCTTTTGGTGATAGTAATGATTCACTGAAGGCTCAGATGATTGTTTGCATTTTTTAGTAATAAAGGATTTTTAATTAAGTCGCTTTA